GCCCCCGGGGCCCCCGCCTGCACCCGCCTGCTGCGAGCGCGAGCCCCGCAGAGCCTGGGTGGAGAGGAGCTCGGAATGCAGCCGCGCAAGTGGGCATCTATCTGCTCTGCCTGCAGCCAAGTACCCGGGCCGCCCTTTACTTTTCTCTTTTTAGCTCTCCTCTTCCTCCTTCCCGTGTCTCCTTCTCTTAAAAAAAAAAAAAAAAATTAAAAAAAGGAAAGAAAGAAAGGAAGGAAGGAAGAAAGAAAGAAAGAAATAAAGAAAGAAAGAACGAAAGAAGGAAGGAAGGAAAGAATGAAAGAAGGAAGGAAGGAATGAAGGAAGGAAGGAAGGAAGGAAGGAAGGAAGGAAGGAAGGAAGAGAAAAAATTAATGGGGACGGAGGAAGGCTTGAGAGGTTTGGGGCGATATGCTTATTTAGGTTTTTAACGTTTTCTTTTCTTTTTGAGCAGGATTAATTTACAAATGCAAATACAGCTACTCACTAAGAAAAGCCAAGTAGGCTGACCGCTAAGCAATACTTCTGCAGGGAAGCTGCTTTGCAAAGAACGTGGGCACACCCACTTGCTAAAAGAGGGGGAAGCGCTCAGACAGAGAGTCCTTCACACTGTGCATCATCACAATAAATTCACTGAATGCTAGAGATGGCCTTTCCAGACTTGGATACATGTTCAGAGCAGAACAATCCCGCTTGCGTTGTGCGGGAACACATACATATGCCATAAAGGCAGATTAACCTTGATCTGCTAGAGAAGGGTTGGGGTAGGTGGGAAAGAGGTAAAACAGGATTTGAGGACAGACGGTTACAGCAAAGAAAGAGGAAGTTGGAAGGCAGCCAGCAATCCAGACTACTTCTGGTCTGGTGTGTGTTCTTGTGATTTTTATCAGTATTTATTTTAATAAAAAAAAAAAAGCAGTAGAGTTAATAGAGACTTGAACTCCATTTAAGAAAACCTGAGATCCTTTTGGTATTACAGGTAGGAAAACGAAAGAGACCTAGGGAGGCAAATTCTGAGCAAACTTTTTAGAATAGACCAGGGCTTGAGCCTCAGGCCCACAGACTCTCAGTTCAAGTCCACTTCTGTGACGCCAAGATTGTCCCAAGGATATATTCAATGTTCCACCCAGAACTTTTCAAAACAACTGAGTTTTGCAGTTTTATGGGCCTAGAATTTGGGTAGAATCTGGGTGCAGGTTAGCTCCGTGTCTGCCTCAAGACTGTAATCAAAACAGGAATTGACGCTGCTGCTTGTCCCCTGAAGGCTTGACAGGAAGAAGTTCTACCTGGGAACTCTTCCTTGAAGAGTTCCAGTCACAGAAGTCTATTTTGCTTCTTCTTTGACAGTGATTAGTCTCGTCCCTCATCTTCTTTTATCTCTCTTTCAGCCCTATCGACCCTGGTCCCTTTTACATGCCCAGATTCATGCCTTTTGGGTTGATTTTGTGACCCCCTCCCCGTTTAATTTAACCACTGCTGGCTGTGTGACTATTGGATTCAAACTATCCACTGGAGCCTAGTGGGGTCACAATTAAAAGCAATGACTCCCCACTCCTTGATCTGATCAGTATCAAAGAATTCAGCAATTAGAGGCAGTGTTTCCTGAGTTAGTGGTCATGTGTCCTGAGTTCTTCTCCATCCATGTATGTCTATTGATGGAGAGACCAACCTTCTTCTGACAGGATGTGCTGACTTACTCAATGCTGGCCTTACTGCTATGGGAGTAGCAACACTCTGATGGGATTTGTGGCCTGCTCTATAGAAGGAATCCATGTCTGGTTCTGTAAACCTGGTCAAAAATCCATAAATGGGATTTCATAGACTCTAGAAGGGAACTTAATACTGCTATTTAACTAAACTGACATAACATCAAACTGCATTCTGAATGTTTATGTTAATATCCATAGACAAATGCTACTGATACAGACTGTATCAGAGAACCCTCTTTTTTTTTCCAGTGATGAATTTTGCAGACTAGTGGTGTATGCAGACATTCATGGCTGTACAAGGTACTGAGAATAAGTTACAGATGAGTGCTCAGTCCTGAACAAGGTAGGCGTATTATCACTTCTAAGACTCAGAGAACACTGTGGAAGAGAGGGAGGAAAGAATTTTAGAGGCAGAAAACAGAGAAGAGGTCTAAGACACAGGATCTATGAATTCATAGACTTTTCAATCTGAATGTAACCATGAAACAGAGAGGCAAAGGGAGACACAGAAGGAGCTGCAGGAGCCAGTGCTCTTCTCCAGAAAAATCGTCCAGAGGTATACATTAGTATACAGAGATTGCTTTCAAAGAATTAGCTCACACAGCTATGGAGGCGTGGGTCCAGAATCTGTACCGTAAACCAGCAGACTTGGGGAGTTGTAGTCTGCTCACTGAATCCCTTCTTGCCTGAAGGAAGCTAGTCATTGTTCAGTTAACCAGTCAGAGACCAATGATTTTTAAACAAATTTTGTTAAGATTATTTTATTGGCAAACTATAGATATTTATGGAGTGCAACGTAATATTTATGTGTAAAATATGGAATAATTTAGCTAAATAATGTATCTGGGACCTGATTTATGTATCTTTTGTGTGGTGACACTTCTTTATTTTCTTGATAATTTTAAAATAACATAATTATTATTATTGATTATAGTCTCTGTTTTGCAAATGATCTGAAAAAATAGATTCTTAGTCAGGGGTAGGGATGTATACCTGCAATCCTAGCACTTGTGAGGCTGAGCACAAGAGGATGGAAATTTAGTATCAGCCTTGGTGAGTTTGAGGCTAACCTCAGATCCTCTGTGTGTGCAGGCAAAGGCATTCCTACTGATTGAAATATTGTTCAGTTTGATTGACAGCTCCGCATTGCCACTGATCCATAACCTTTGGCAACCATCATCCTACTCTCTTCTTTGAGTGTCTGCACTAAATTTACTATATTCTCCACACAGTGAAACCACATAGCAATTGTTTTTTGTCCTTCAAAAGATAAATGAATAATTGTCTTAGTGTTTCTGTTGTTGTGAAGAGACACCATGACCATGCCAACTCTTATAAAAGAAATCATTTAAATGGGGCTTACTTACACTTTCAGAGGTTTAGTTCATCACCATCATGGCAGGAAACATTGTAGCATACAGATAGATGTGGTGCTGGAGAAGGAGCTAAGAGTTCTACATCCTGATTCACATGCAGCAGGGAGAGAGAGAAAGAGAGAGAGAGAGAGAGAGAGAGAGAGAGAGAGAGAGAGAGAGAGAGAGAGAGAGAGAGAGACTGGTCCTGGCTTGAAGTTCTGAAACCCCAAAGCCTACCCTCAGTGACACACTTCCTCCAATAAGGCTACACCTACTCCAACGAGGCCACACCTCCCAATAGTGTCACTCCCTATATATTTATGGGGGCTATTTTCATTCAAACCACCACAATAAGGAAAATGTAACACACACACACACACACACACACACACACACACATTCATACACAATGGGTAAAATAAGGAAATTTTTCCATTCTGACCACTGATGAGTCTATAAGATGTAATGCAAAGAAAACTGATTTAAATGTTAATCTCATCCTCAAAGCAACATCTTACGCACATACAAAATGATATCTGGCCGAATATCTGAGCGCCTGACCAAACCAAGTTAACAGGTAAACTTAATCACCACATCAAACATTGTTCTAGGAAATAGAGATCTAACTATTATGTGTTACTACTTAATTCATGCACTGAAGTTTCTACAAAAAAAAAAAAATGTGAATCCTGCCTAAAACATTCCAGTGTGCCTGTCCTGGCCATTGGCCAGTATACTAGGATTATCTGTATATTTTGAAATCTCTTCTCACAAGAAGGAATTGTTCTTTATTGTTGGAACAACATGTGAGGGAAACAGTGTGTAATGCAAAATTCAGTCTTTTAATGCAATAGGTCCTAGGTAAAAATTGACTGTACAGTTTGACATCACTGTGAACGTCTGCAGTTTATCCTGATTTGTAAAATAAAGATAACCATTGAGCATGTTTCAATCAGATTCAATAAGCTAAGGATGTAGAACACTCGGGGATTTCCCAGAATTTGGTGATATCATTTGCACCGCCTGCTCCACATGTCATATCATCCTCAAACTCAAAGTGCCAGGACAACATTCCTCTGCATTCAGTAACTGTCTGACAGCATTCCAGACAAAAGGAATTCTGAACATCTGTGCAAATCCTTAATGCTGGTGAACACTTGGCTGTGAGAAACTTCCTTTTTCTATTGATTGACTTCAACATTCCTGTCTTTAACATCCATTCACAGCAGGGACATTCTGCCCCTCACAATGAGTCTTTCACACATGTGAAGGCAGTGATCACTTCTGTGTCTTCTTTACTCAGTGTTCATAGCCCTAGTTTTTATTTTAACCATTTAATGCCTGGCTTTTTACTATGTATCTCATTTTCTCTTACTATCTCCAAGTAAACCAACATCAGTGCTAAGTATTCAAAATGGTTTATACACCATAACTATAAGGTTCTTACCTCCCCTGTACTGGGTATAACTCATATATAAATCTCAGCTCTTGTAGACTTTGAGAAGAAACGTAAAAATGCAGCAGAAATAGCCATAATAAATGGGTGCTAAATGTGTGTGTGTGTGTGTGTGTGTGTGTGTGTGTGTGTTTGTGTACTTTTTTTCATAAGTGAAATTTCTCAAGACATGTATCATAACTTGTAAATATTCAAACCCAACTGG